TATTTTTGCACCAACCTAATAATATATAAAGATAGATATCAATGAAATAACGAAAAAGAAAATACTGAAATAAAAGGCAGACGCTAAAAAGAATTGGTCGCCAAAAATAATGTATCGCAAAATAAGGAATAGTAGACAAAGAATAAATAGAAAAATAATTGATGCCAGTGCCAATGCAAAAAAAAAAAAAAAAAAAAAAAAAAGCGAGGTAGGAAATACGGCGTGGGAGAATTAAAAACAATGGGCACGATAGCAAAACGATTCTCAACAAGATAACAGAAAGAACAAGGAAACAATGAAAGAAATCATTGTTAAAAAAAAAAAAAAACTGGGAAGAATATAAATAGCAAATGTTTCAAAAACAATTTAAAAAAGTACTTTATTTCTCTTTATATCTCTCTTCTCTCTCTCTCTCTCTCTATCTATCTATCTATCTATCTATCTATCTATATATATATATATATATATATATATTATATATATATTACATGAACCATTCATGCAAAAAACAGATATAGAAGTTAATGATTTAAATGGCGAGAATACATCTTTGCAAACAAGTTTAATAAAGTACATTAACCCCGAACCTGTAGATGAATGTTATGATCCCTGTTTATAAATTCCAGTTGCATAAGGTCTTTTTTTAGTTTTTACAAGCTTTCGTCATGTAATGTAAATTGAACTGCACCACCTACTTGATATATATTATATATATATATATATATATATATATATATATATATTTTTTTTCCATCTCTGTCTTCTATCTCTCTTTACCGCTCTTTCCAGCTCTTTTCACTCTCTCTCTCTATTTCTCTTTCCATCTCACTCCTCTCTCACTATCTCTCTCTTTCTCTTTCCACCTCTCTTCTCCCTCTTTCTCGTTCCATCTCTCTCTATCTCTCTCTCTATCTCTCTATCTCGCTCTCTGATTCTCTTACCATACCTATCCTCTCTCTCGATCGGTTTATATCACGTTGAAACACTGGTACACGTCGATAATATCACCATGGTTAAGGAATGTCAACCTGGTCAGTAATTAGATGGGTGGCATCTTGGTAATGGTAGTGTAATGGATAGGGGATCGGAATGAGAAATCGGGGATCCCAGTTCAAATTTTAGTCAGATTCCTTATATTCATCTTCGCGCAAATCCCCTTGGGAAAAGTATGAATACACATCTTGTCCCCACAACTATGGGTTAAATTTTAGGTCATGTGATGCTCAAAATGAATTGTTAAAGCAGTATTCTTCGGAAAGAAATAATTATTTTTACAATGAAAAAAAAAACATAAAAATAAAAAAAATCAGCATAGAATAATATACAAAGGGTTGATAAACTGTAAAAACAGTCTTTTTTAAAACTCAAATCTATCTATCTATCTATCTATCTATCTATCTATCTATCTATCTCAGACTGTTCATATCTATCTATCTGTTATGGTAATTTAACCATACACGCATGGTCCCTCCCAGCTATAAATCTGATCAGGTATTGCCTTTTAGTGAGTGTAGTTTCCAGCAATCAGCTCTGATAGTAAGACAGAACTTACTCGTTTGTATATGTTTTGTGTTACTCTTTCTGTTAATATATTTTTTTTAACTCAATTCCCCTCTTTGTGTCTTTATTTCTGACCCCAGTAAGGCCACAACAATATGTATCTATCTTTCTCTCTATAAACATATGAAATAAAAATAATAATTGTAGCTTTTATTACGCTAATTAAATGTATATAAATTAAGATTAAAAATACATATGAATGAAAATATTTAACATGTAAAAAAATTGAATAGAATAAATAAAATGTACAACCTTTTTTTTTAAGCTTTTCACTCCAAGCAAGGCGGGAAGCCACTAGGACTAAGGGGTTACAGAAAATTTGGAGCAAGATAGGAGTGATAGAAGAAAGGATGAGGAGAAGGGTAGTGGATAGATCAAGGCAACTGGAGATGTCGACTGACATTACATTTGAATAGCTGGAGATTATAGCTCTCAGGGAAACTGGAATAGGGAAGGGAGTTCCACAGGCGAGAGGTGCGAGACATGAAGCTATTGGAGTAGAAGAGACGGCTACATTTAGGAGTTTCGACAGTGAAGGGGTGAGAGTGGGATGCCAACCTCGTAGGGCGCTTGAACTCATGACGTCTGGGAACCAGCGAATGCAGCTCCTCGGAGCACTTGCCATGAAAGTATTTGTAAAACAGACAGAGAAAGGCGACGGCGCGTCTGTCAGAAAGTGACTGTAGACGAGATGCCAGAGTAGAGCCAATTATATTGCATATCCGCCTCTGGAGCCTATCAAGAACCCCGAGACAAACAGAAGGGGCTCCAGACCATATATGGCAGCAATACTCCATGCAAGGGCGAATTGTTGATTTGTAGATCTGGAGGATCGATTCCGGGGAGAAAAATTTCCTGGCGCGGCACAGGGAGCCAACTTTCCTTGCGGTGGACCTATAAAATTGTGCCATCTACAAAGACTCTTGACCCCTGCAAAGAGTTTACGCTCGTTTTCGTAGTTTTTGGTTTACAATTATATTTATCCTGTACAAGGCCCAGGAGCCACTCGAGGTCGTGGGTTACAGAATAAGAAGTAAGGTTTCTGCGGATATGTTGTTAAAATATGAATAGGTTAAGATTGTAATGATCGGGGAAGCATCATGCTGAAAGTCGCTTCCAAAGGGCAGCATTTCGTGAGAAGAGGCTGCTCGAGTGGAATCAAAATCTTACCAAAGATTACGGAGACAATGATAATAGTTCGCTACAATGTGCGTGGCTTGGCTGGACTTAGTCGTGAAGGTATGCAACCAAAAAAACATTGCTATTTTTTTTAATGTACGTTGGTACTGCAAGATCTCGCAAGCGGTGTATAACCTTAACAAAATGATATACACTGTTTACACAGTATTGATGGCTAACACAGAAAGAAAACTGCAGATTCTCCTAGACAATGCACTAAAGGAAAAGAGGAAGAAAGTACTAATCATATATTGTAAGGTGACGGAATGTATATTTGTCAGCAAAAGGGAAATCCCAAGGTGCAAGCTACAAAATGGAAATGTCAAAATTATGCAAATGCATAAATATAATATCTGGCTGGTGTCATGGAAGAAGAAAACTTGACCAAATATAAAGAAAATGGAAAGGTTAGTTGGTAAGAAAGAGTAGTGAAACGTTATCCAATATCAATCCTCTCGTATTGTGAATGTTTGACAATCACCAATTAGATGAAGAGGAGACTTGAATCAACAAATATAGGGTCCGACAGAATAATGGCGGGAATATTATGGACGGAGCATGTGTGCAACCAAGACAACTTAAGGAAAATGAGAAGCAGTTTTGCTGAGAATCTGAAAGAGATAGTTCAAAATTCTGGTAGGCCTAATGGCAAGAGAAGGACTGAAGTCTTTGACGCTAACATGATATATTGAATCTATCTAAGGCAGAAAGAAAACAACGGGTAACGTACCTAAAATGTGTAAATGAATGGCAATACATGGACTCTGATGGATAGTAAGAGGAAAGAAGATTGCTAAAACTGCAACGGATAGGAAGCTGTGGAGAGTCATAAACCTCTACCTTCTGTAGAGCTACACGAAGAGAGAAGATATTTGTTTATATTTTGTCTGTCATTATTAAAATGGAAAGAAAGAAATTTCGGTTCGTTTTGTTGGACGCGTTTAAAATTGATAAAAATAGGCAGCGGAACCTGATCGAAGAAACTTTGGCCATGAAGACGTGAAACCGGAAGATGAGGAGAGTAGTGAACGTCTTTCTGCGATTGATAGAAATTATATGATTGTCATTACTGAATCGGATTGATTGACTGATTGAATTTTTTTATGATCAACCATTTTTGGATCACATCATTACAAAATATATTTTATATTGTAAGTATATCCTTTGCGAGGGCATTGCATTGACAATGTTTTGAAAATAACGATGACTTTTCGGGATACAAACCGTACTATTTAACTCATATCTGAGGGAAAGAGATGGATTATTAAGTTTCAGAAAGGTATTTCCTTGTTTGTATGGTTTTACGACATATCAACCTCAAAGGGTTATTTGATGCCAACAATTATATATATATATATATATATATATATATATATATATATATATATATATATAATCTATTCATTGTAACAAAATCATTTTTAAAATCAAATTTAATTAAGACTTATAACATTTTTTATTGCTGATAATATTTTTTTCCAAAAGAGTATTGCTGATAAGACTTTTTTCTTCAAAAATGTATTGCTGGTAATAATTCTTCTTCAAAAATGGATTGCCGGTAATAATTATTTACAAAAATGTATTGCTGATAATATTATTTTCATTCAAAAATGTATTGGTAATATTTTCACAAAATTTATTGCTGGTATTAAAACCTATTTTTGCACATGTCCCCAGTTTAGGGGTTAACTATTTGACTATAGTTGGGACCCTAACAGGTGTTACCACCCTGAGTCAGACTGGACCTGGGAACACCTGCAATTAAGAGTTGGTTCAACGCTCTTCAAACCTGATCAGAGGCCTTGCTGTTAGACGTAGTTTAAAGTTTTTTTTCCAGGACGAGGACGTAGTTTATCGTCTCAACCAGGAAGCGCGTGTAGTTTATCGTCTCAACCAGGACGCAGATATAGTTTATCGCCTTACACAGGAGGCAAAGTATTTGCACTTAAGGTAATGTAACGAACCTGACGGGAATTCGAATCGCTATCCATTATACTCGCACATCCATTACTGAAGCGGTCAAACGGAAAATATTTCAAAGGGCTTCAGAATAACTTACCTTTCAGCAAGTGTTTGAAATTTGCCTCAAATTTCAAGATTCAAAAATCTGGAAATATTGATACCGCGCGAGGAGAACGGAAATAAATGCAAATCATCTTTATAAATAGGTTTGCCTATTTTTATTTTTTAAGTTCATCAACGACCAATAACGGTTATCGTGTCTAGTCATGCTGACTATTCCAACTGAGTGGTGAGCTCGA